CCGAACTTTTAGATATCTAAAGTTTTGATAGATCAAGACAAAGTTTTTAGTCGAACTGAGTATCATGGATTCATGGGCGCAAGAATGCCCATCCCTACACTGTATTGAAAGAGAAAGAAAGCAACATTTAGATTAAGTTGTTTATTTTACAAGCTTTTGGATTATACTTTTTGAAATCACTGGCTGCAGACAGCACAACCCAAAAGCTTATTAACTAATCTAAATTAACGAACTAATATATTAGTTTATCAACTAATCATGTAGAAAGAAGTATCATTTCTTTTTGTTGTCCATGTTGAAGAAAGCATCAAGATGACGAAAGATATGAGTAAAGAAAAAGGAGAAGTGTAGAGAAAAGATGAGAAAAAGAACACGTTAACCAATAGAGGACTAATCATTTTATGAATTGGCATTGAGTTAAAATGATTCATATGAACCAACTTCTTTTCCTTTTGAGTAAATTTACTAAATAACCCAAAAAACTTTTATAATTAAAAAAAATGACTAAATTTTGGGGATTCTTTTGAAAAACTATAGAGGGTTTTGGTTACTTTTTTAATATTGTAAGTTTTTTGCATATTAGGTACAAATTCCCTTTCTTTTTCCATTCACTAGACCCACTCTACTTTGATCTATATACCAAAATGTTCTGATTTCGCAACTTTTTAGAATTGTCGCAACCGTATAGATTTTTAGTTAGTGGTTCACGTCTCCACGAATCTGATTACCTCAACCGCCTACTATAGACCATTACATTATTTTTACTATCTTCTGAGTTAGTTTTATTGATCTTTTTCCTCGGATTCTTTAAGAAGATCCATCAAAACATTCATAACATGTAAAAATTTCATTTCATCAAAGAAATTTCAACCGAGAATACAAAACTTATGTTTTTTGCTACGCTATTTTGATCCATTTAAAATGTTGTTTCGATATTCCAAAACCCATAAGACGTTAATTTATGTTGATTATTAGCACTTTAGCAGTATAATTTAGACTTTTGGAAGTTAACGAATATGGTTTCTCAATGTAGAACAAATTTTAACGAAATTAACTTTATGAGAAAAAGTGTGAC